GGCTGCTGAGGATCTCCTCACGAAGGTCAGGACTGGAAGGGCATACTCTGGAACCCCCATGTCAGGCCACTGTGTGTAGTGATACTGGATCACAATCCTTTCATTCTGACGACCCTTGGGATTTCCCTTCTGACCCTACGGGAAAGACAAAAAGGTGGCTTTAATCTGAGGGTGAACATTTTGGGGAAGAATACTGTAAGCATGTCAGCAAACATGGCTTCCCCCACTACTGTTACTTCCCTTTTGTGGTCAACTTTCTTGTCACTAAATGGAGACATTATCTAGCTAGATGTGAACCATCTCCATCTCTTAGAAGATTATACCAAGAGTGAACATATACCATCAGGTATCTGAACTTAGAACTACCAAAGCACATTGTAATTTTCCTACAAGACATCCATGTTCTGACTTGCTGTCCAACTTTGTGCTTTGATTTTGTCTGCCTCTGGGCTGTGATTCCCATGCCTTCTCCACTGTCTGGCCTGGGCCTTCCAGAGCTGGGGGTGTTGGGTGCTGCTGTCCACTCTCTAGAAAGCAAGGGGAGGATCCCAAGGGGGAAAGGATTCTCCAGGTCTAGAATGAGAGGCCATGTTTCATGTATCTGCCACTTTCATAACCTACTTTTTCCAAATAGATCACTTGTTGTGATATGTTTTCTCCAGTTTTTAATATCTCTAAATATATTTTCTTTGATGACGTAGGGTCAGTAATCACAATAATGAGCCTTGAAGGATGAATGGCCCGGTGCTACAAGGGCCACGATGAGTTTTAGAATGCTTTTGTTAACTCTCATTTTTCTGCTTTTTCCTCTGATCAGAATACAGAACACCTAAAGTTCCTAATTGACTTCATTCTCTGACTTGTTTGTAGAAGAAGGGTAGTGGGCCTGTTTAAATACCTAAGAGGTTGCCATGAGTCACAGGCTTAGTAATTTTATACTAATTATTAGTAAGCTTGAGCCAGCCAACTGCTCTATAATACAAAACACAGATGTGGTGCTACTGATTTTCATGTACTTCAGCTGTTTTTAGAAATAACTATTCATAAAAAGGATTGTTGGGGTTTAGAGCCACCTTGTGGGGTCAAAGAGGCTACTATTTTATTTTATCACATTTCCCAAGATGCCAAAAAAAAAAGGTCCCATTGCTCCAAACAATTACAAACAAGTAAGTACATTTTCTTACAGAGCATCTCTCTAGAGTTGAAAATATTGCTATGATCACCTAGGATTCTTGTGACAGTGGATTGGGAAAGATAAAAGAAAAACTGAGTTAACTTGAAAGCAGCATTTCCATACTGTGTGATTCTTAGAATATATATAGTAGTTCTACAGAAAAGGATTCTATGGTTAAATGACATCAGAAAACAGGAAAACCAAAGCTATATATTTTTTAACTACAACATGTGGTCAGTCGTGTTCACTATGCATTTCTAAAAGGGGAATCACATTATGTAGTATTCACCTCCTTTTCTTCTTGGATAGCAGAGCCTGATTTTTAAATAAGCATCTTGTAGGACTAGTTTTCCTTGGAATACTCTTTGGGAAACAATGCTTTAAAGCTGTCAGAAAGTTGGAATTAAATAGCTAAATCAATAAATACATGCTGTCATCTTTGTTGAGTGTTAGCAAAACCTAAGAGAATGACTTTTTGTGAAAAGATGAAAGAACTCTATGAGGCCAGTTAAATTCTATTCTTTGTTCTACCAATACCTTTTACACTATACACTGATGTCAGTCAAAAGAGTTGTGAAAAAAATGTTTTAAAAATATTTAAAAAAAACCCAAACCCAAGTTGGTTATGAAATTTGGCCTTTGTTGCACAATAATTTTCATACAAACATAAAAAAGAGGCAGTCTGGTAGCCACCACGCTCCCTGTACCTTTTTCACTTTTGTATTTCGGACTGCAAAACGACGAACAGTATAGCAGGCGTGTACTTTTGTGCTCTTCAGTGTGACAATAATGGTTCCGTACTCTTCACTATTCTCTGTTGGCCAATACTGATCACACTTTCGCTGCAAAAAAAAAAAGTTACAAATATTAGATGACAATGCTAAGACACAGGGAAGATTGCCACTTATTTGACTGAGAAAGAAATGCACTGGGCTGCTCAAAAGCAGATGTGACCTCTAAAGAGATTAACAGGTTGGGGTAAGCTTGGGCAAGGTCATCTGAGAACGGATGTAGTAGTTATGATCATTTTCAGTAAATATGTATTTTAAAGAGGGTCCAAGCAGACAACCTGTCTATTTAACTTGAAAAAACTGTGGGCAGGATATATTATAAAGGGAGTTTAAATATCATTTGGAAGGTCTTTTCTAACTGGGAATCTCTGTTACAACTTGGGTCACCAAAGGCTGCATGGTCAAAATTAAGCAGTGGTGACTTTGACCAATGAACCTGAGGCTTAGCCTTTATTGCAGCCCAAACTGACATCACTTATAAACTTGTGAGCCAATTTGTTTTGCAACATTAATTATCATGCTTTACAAAGTTCTTAATGATGGTTGAAGTGTGTAAGCAGTGTTTGTTTACTCCTAACCTATACGATTAGTAGTTTCTTAACTCTACCCTGAATCTTTTGACTTCCTTGCTCTTTCTACTCTTCTTTTCAGTTTAACTCAAGTCTTACCTCTTTTAAAATACTCCATCCTAAAGAATGAATTCATTCCTTTTGTAGCATTCCCCTAACACACACCTCTAACAGCACATTCAGTTCACAATTGCAATGCTTTGGCTAGCAAACTAAGAGCAAAGAGAACACTTCTCATTTCTGTAACTTTATATCTGGTCAAGTTTCCACTCTACAGCACGTACTCAATAAATATTTTGTGAATGAAAGAGCATTATTAAGGTAGTAAACTAAGGACTTACTCTTCCTTTCTCCACAAGGTTGGTAATCATGACAATGATTCCAGTGTTTTGCTCCCAAATCATCCTCCAAAAATCTTCAAACGTAGACTTCAAAGGTCCCTGTGTGGCAATGTAGGCTTTTGCTTTGTTGTAACCCTTCAAAGATGACCGAGTACAAAATAAAATGAAAGCAGTATCACACAAGATCAGTTAATAATTCAAGCACCTTCTACAATGAATGGACTGTGCTTATAGAGAAAGCTCTGTGCACTATTAATACATGCAACAATTGCTACTGTGGTCAAAGACAAGTTAGAAAACATGTCTGACTTACATCAACGTAGTTTGCATTAATGTAGTCACTGTGCTTAGAATCTTTTCCTGGTAAAGGTCTTAACTTCACCCTACTGTGATCATCTGTAAAGGATAAGAAAAAAGGCAAAAACAAAATATTGTGGAATTAAAAAAAAAAACTGATGGCGTTCTAAACACAAACTCCCTGAGTATTTCCCAGAGTGTGCTGAGAAACCTTTTAAACGAGCAAGGACAAACACACACAGTAATCAAATCCATAGCAAAAAACAGGGCCACTTCTAACTCATGCTCTGACGTGAGTGTCCAAGAAATGCAACTAAGGTCCTAACTAGTTCCTGTAAAACTAGGATGAAACAATTTGAGGTATAATACATGTATATATGGAAATGTCACAATGAAGCCCTCTGAATAACTATCATAAACTAACAAAAATTTCTTTTTTAAAAAATAAAGAACAGTAGGAGGGGAGAAGGCATAAGGAAAGGGTAAAAGAGGGTGAAGATGGTGGAAGTAGTTTGTATTCATGTGCAAAAATTACAACAATGAAACCTGTTGAAATTGTTCTAAGAGGGTAGGGAGAGGGGATAAAGGAGAAAGATGGAAGAGGTGAATCTAATTAAGATACATTGTAAGCACGTATATAAATATCACAATGTATCCCCGTACAACTATAATATGCTAATAAAAAACTATGCACATTGCAATTTGCAATCCTTTAAAATCCTCTATTTTGAAACCAAGAAAAAAGGCCTTTGATTACCCATGCCTTTATTCCTTTAGTATAGATTTAAAAGGTGACTGTTACATGAAGTACAGAACAAATATTTTCAGAAGATTCCATTACTAACTTCAGATGGATTCTCTGCCACATCACTGAACCGAAGGAACCAAGGCTGCTTTTCAGAGGAATCTCACTGCAGAAATCTCTAGTCACATTTTTTAAGATTTCGTTATCTTTACCTTTGGAACAAAATGACAGGGGCATCATATGTCTTAGTTGCCCAACAGAATAAGCCTGGTTCTTTACAATAGCAAAAGAAATAAAAGGAGGGTTACATCTTAATTTTCTTTTTCCTACACAGGAAAAGAATGGGCAAAGCCAACATGTATTTGTTTAGAGCTGTTCTCATAAAAGGCTTGTTAAAAAAAAGTGAACGGAGGGGATCAGTGTAGGCATTATTGACCTTAGATTGCACCAAGTCCTGTTTCTGAAAGTCTTGTACTTTCTTGGAACTGTGAATTGCTTATGTTCTCAGAAATTAAAGAATTTACATGAAATGAACTACCAGTTATAAAGAGGCCCTCAATGAAAAATTTTCTGGATGCATACTTCTATGCCTTAGCAGCCATGGTTTTGTTATTTCTTAGCATGACACTCTCAAGTTTCAAAATTCATATGTGACTAAAAGTTAATAGGCTGACCAACAGATCAGTATCACAGGATCCAGTGATGTCTACATATTCCCTGAAAGCTGTAATGGCCCTGTAAGAGAAGGCTTTTGTATCATGTTCATGGTACATTTATGGTCTGGTTGTACTTGTCTCCAGGACATTTCTATGCTATTGTTTGTGACATAAAGGCATTTATAGAGGGATAGGTAAGCGACAGGTGATATGCTCAGAATCCGAGCGACAAAGAAAAAAACCAAACCCAACTCTCTGAATTTGTGGAAGTATAACCACATTTAAGCTCAGATGGTGGCTTTTCCGCAGAACACATCACCCTTGGTACATCACACACATGTTTCTTTCATTTTGTGTCTCTTCTTGGACATCTATTTTTAATCAAAGCAGAAGAGGTCACTAAAGGCTGATTCAGTCCAGAGAATGATATATGTAGGACACAGATGTGTATCAATCTCCACCTGATTTGTATGGTAAGAAGAGATGGACAAATCCTCACAACAACCTCAAAGACTGGAGGGGAAAGAAAATGACTTTTTCTTTCTTTCTCTCCTTCCCTCCTCACTTTGTAAACAAACAGTTCTATTCAAAAATAACTTTACCTAGGAAAAGTAAAACTATCTCTGTTCATAGATGATATCATTCTATACAGAAAGATCCAAAGGAATTCATAGTTCATAAATGAACAATTAGAACAAATGGGTTCAGTAAGGTTGCAGGATACCAGATCGACATACCAAAATCCAATTGTATTGCTATACATTGTCAATCAGCAATATGCAGTTTCATTTGCAGTAGCATTAAAAAGAATACAATACCTAGGAATAAATTTAACAAAAAAAGCACAAGCTTGTATAATGCAGACTATAAACCACTGCTGAAAGAAATAAGACCTGAGTAAGCGTCTTCATGGGTTGGAAGGCAATATTGTTAAGATGGCAATGATCCCAAATTAATCTCAGTTTCAATGCAATCCCGATCAAAAATCTTAGTTCCATTTTCTGCAGTAATAGACAAACTGACCCTAAAACTCATACAGTAGCACAAGGGACCCAGAGTAGCCAAAACAGTTTAGAAGAAGAGGGCTCACTGTTTCCAATTTAAAAACTTGCCACAAAGCTGTCAGTAATCAAGACAGTGTGGTACTGGCAAAAGGATAGACATATAAATCACCAGAATTGGTTAAGACTGCAGAGATAACCTGTTACTTTATTGTAAGCTGATTTTCCCTGAGTGCTAAGACAATTCAATGAGGGGAAAGTCTGCAACAAATGGTAATGGAACGAGTAGAATCCAAATAAAAAATTAAGATGGATCAAAGACCTAGATTTAAGAGCTAAAACAAACAAACAAACAAACAAAAAACCCTTAGGACAATACCCAGGAGTAAATTTTGGTATGATTTTTGCATTAGGCAATGCTTTCTTAGATATGATACGAAAACACAGGCAACAACAATATAGGTAAGTTGGAGTTCACCAAAAATTTAAAGGTTGTGTTTCAGAGGAAAAAAGTAAAAAAGACAGTGCAAAGAATGAAAGAAAATGTTTATGAACCTAAATAGTAGATAGGATACATAAAGGGAAATTCAAAGTAAAGAAGAAAAGTAATCCATCTTTTAAAAGGGGAGTGAGGAAGGGAGGCATAAAGGATCAGAACAGACATTTCTCCAAAGAGATATACAAAACACGCTCGACATCACCAGTCATTACGGAAATGGAATTCAAAGTACAGTGGGCTTCTGCTTCTCACCCATCAGGACAGTTGGTGGAGTCCCGGACCCCTCGTAGATTGCAGGTGGGAATGTAAAATGTTCAACAGAGTCCTCATATAATCTAGCAAATCTATTTCCATGTGTACACACAAGAAAACTGATCATGTATGCCTACATAAAGCCTTGTATGTGAATTTTCAGAGCAGCATGATTCCAAAAATGGAAAAAATACAATGTCTATCAAATGATGAATGAATAAACTTAATGTCATATAGCCATACAATGGAGCATTATTTACATATAAAAAGGAGTGGAGAAAAAGCTGGGAGTGTAGCTCAAGTGGTAGAGCAACTGCTTAAAAATGAATGTAGCACTGACACATAGTTCAACATGAATGAACTTTGAAAATACTATGCTAAGTGAAAGCAGCCAGATAGGAAAAGTTACATATTCTGTGATACCATTTATATGAAATGTCCAGAATATGCAAATCCTCAGAGACAGAAAACAGACAATTTCTAGGGGATGGAGGTAAGCAGGAATTGGGAGTCCTTGCAAAAACAGGTATGGGTTTCTTCTTTTTGTTGTTGTTGGGGTGCAAAAAATTTTTCTAAAATTAGAGTGACGATGATACAACCCCAAAAATACAAAAATTCCCTGAACTGTACACTTTAAATGGGTATATTACATATGGGATGTGAATTCTATTTCACAAAAGCCTTATTTAAACTTTATAGTCCTGTTCAAATTTTAAGTGGTTCAATTTAAATTTACCGTTAAATTGCTATGTAACATGGTCCTTACCAAAGTGTGAGTGACCTATAATCACTGGTGTCTCTGCTTTTCATTATCAAAGCATACATACCTTGATCTGTTAGACAAATGAAAGTCTAAGGGGGAAGAAAACGTCTCCACTTCTAATACGTGCCTGAAGATGGGCGGAGGGGAGGTTACCTTGCAAGTGTCATTCTTTCTTGGCATCCTCGTTCTGACTGTTTGGCTTGCAGTTTACACTCAGCATGAAGATTTAATTTCCTTACAGTCAAAGATAATTTAAAGTTTATTACTCACATGCTAAGATGTTGATGTATCTGTTTTTGTGCTTGTTATCCGGATGGTTGGAGTGTTCTGCAGTGATGTTTAAGTCAGCTGTACAGCGTTGGACTTCCTAGGGAAGAAAGCAGACAGCAAGATTTTAGACACAATTTAGAAAAAAACGAACTAGCATCGTGCACTGCATGACAACATATCTGTCAACATGGACTGCCCATACAACCGTGGTCCCATAGGATTATACTGTCACTGAAAAATCTCCTAGTGACGTCAAAGCTGTGGCACCATCTTAGTGCCATACATTGCTCACATGTGTGGTGAGGCTGACATACAAACCTGGTGTGCTGCCAGTTGTATAAAGTAATCCAATAATGTGTAGTATATAATGTGTGACGGTACCAAGTGTCTATTACCAGCTGATGCATTTATGCTGTATTTTTATTATTACTTTAGAGTATGTTTTTTCTATTCATAAAAATGTACCATGAAAAAGTATGCTATTTCACAGAAGTGACAGCCACTGTAACAGCATTGTATTTGCTGTGTCTCTTGATTGCATCAAGAGATGGCATTGAGTGGGTGATGTAGACCATCTAGGTTTCTAGGTTTGTGTGAGTATGGTGTCCGTATAATAATGAAATTGCCTAATGAGGTACTTCTCAGAATTTGTCTTAATGTGTCTAGAGAGATGTATGATATTCATGTACATGTTATTCGGCCAAAGACAAAATATTTATTCCCTAGCATTGAATTTGCCATTACCACCTCAAGCCCAAACTCAGATATAATTATTCCCATATCAATAACTTGCATATAATGCATATGAAGAAGATAATAATGATTTCATTCTTTACTATTCATCATTCGTCTACTTTTGTTACAAGTTTTGAGTAGGCACTGGGATACAAAAGAATCTCTCTTTTTAAATATGTCAAGAGTTGATGAGGGAAAAAAGATACTGTCAATCAAATGTGATCAACAGACCAGAGACCTAAGAAAAGCAGAAAAAAAAATGCGAACAAAGAAAAACAAAGGAAGGCTTAAAACAAGACATGACAATTCACCTGAGTCTTACGGGACGAATGGAACTTTCCAAGGAACACAATTTCTACCATGCAATGTGCATAGAGGCCTCACAGCCTCATTTTATAATCATAGGACGGCAAATTGACTAAAAAGACTCCGTTCTGAAATTACTCTAATATTTAGTTCAACTAATTGTCTTGTCCAGCTCAGATTTGTATGATCAGACAAATCACTTCTGTAGTCTATTTTTATTCCAGTGAACTTCCTTTAGAAAAAAAATCGCAGTGGCAGAAGCAACTCTCTCCCGCTCTTTTGGCCCCGGATATAAACATCATCCCTTTAGCCAAATACAAGGTTGCTGAAAAGCCAAATTTTTCTACACTGAATGCTTCAAACCCAAGAAAGTACTGAAGCTAACTAATAAGGGAAGTCATTAGCAGTGCACAGCTGTTGCAAAGAACAGGAGCAAAGTAGCACAAAATTATCAGGAGAAATGTTTTACACATAGCAGATGTAACAGAGTTTAGAAGCACGCAGACTTTTTTTCACAAAGGAGTTGCATAGCAATTACGGATGATTTCCACAGCATTTACATTAAGCATGAGGACAATAAAGATCTGGTTGTGTTGTATATTCACCAAATACTTCCCAGTAGAGGAGTGCCTCTCCTTTCTGCAAGAAGGCACTCCCTGGAAGTAAAGAATTTAACTAAGGTGTAAAAATAAAGGGTTACTATCTGCTCAAGGAAACCATATGCATCGATTCTCCAGTTCTTGGAAGCTGTATATTGAATTTTTCATAACTGTAGGCCATCCCAGCTGTCTGAAAAAAAAAAAAAGCCCCACAGGTATTAATTCAATCCATCTCTTTGGGGAAAGGGTGCTTCATGATGATTCTTATCTGTTTCTTATTCTTATCAAATATGACAAATTCTGATATTTTTCTGCTCTATTTTTTAAAAGTTCCTAACATGTGGTTTTGCAAACAGTAGTTTTTAAAAGGCCTTAAGGCTGGCTTTGCCTCTTTTCTCTAAAAATGAGAAAAGTGTGGGCACAAAGTAATAAGTCAGATAAGCTCACATCTACAAAAGCAAAAGCCATGCTAGCCAAACTCGGGGAATACTGGAACCTGCCTTTTGGAATTGCTTTAAAAGCCCGAGGCACGCTGTTTTAAGGCAGAAAACTTTGGGAAAATGGATTTGTATTCTGGATGATATTAACTCGGTCTATATACAAATCCCAGAAACAGGCTGATGTTCTTTTGCTTCTGGGTTTTGAAGGTCATATCCTTGGCGTGTACTTCTTTAAGGACTGAGTTCTTTAGATATCGTATGCTGAGAGATTTTAGCTTTTAGTTCTTTAGTCTCAGATTTGTTCTGGTTATTTATTGATTTTCTTTTTCTTGTTGTGTGGATCTGACCAGCTATTGGACCAAAGCTGAACCTCTGTTAGAACATAATGCAATTGACCAGAGCTCTTTGAGAGCAGCTGTCTGCACTGTTTACAGCAGCCACTCAATATGGCCAAACTCTTGTTATACAAAACCTTTGGTTTGATCCACTGTCTCTATTTTACTTTTCCAATTATGTGAATGACAGAAAACAAAGAGTAGTCATAGATAAAGCTAAATCTGATTTTATTAGAACTCATGGGGCTTGCCTAGGGCTTTCTGATTTTGTCTGGTGAATAATTGTCATCTGTAATTCCTGGCGGTGCTGCTTGGCTCATTTAGATGCTGGTAATATCATCTGATCCTGGAGTGGCTTTTCTCTATCAGAATTGCTGTTTCAAACTTAATATGATTTTAATAGGAGTTAACAACCCTTTAAAGTGACACTGGCTGATGCAGTGTGTATTGTAAAGTCACCTACTCAGCACTTTGATAAATAGTTTAAGCTTATTTATATTTCCTTGTCTACAACAAAGCTACAATCCTCAAAAATGAGTATTCTGAATATTAACAGGCATATGACCACAGGAGAGAGCCAAAGGAAAACTGGAGGTTTCATAAAAACGCTGACATTTGATACAGCCAGAATTCTTGGGAGACAAAATAGGCTAATCACCTCCTGCCTTGAGTTTTGATGGGAGAAGTTGTCTAGGAGACCTGTCATCCTAAGGTTCTTTGGCTTTATTAAAAAAAAAAAAAAAAAAAAAAACGGAACAAAAACCATTCAGAAATCTTTCAGATTGCTTAGCAAGACAAGCCTCCAAGAAAATATTTTGCACAAGTATGTATACCACTCAGGTAGCCTATAGCTATAGGATAGGTACCTATAGTTTTAAGGGGACTGTTTTACACAAGTCTGCTCAGTTTAGGTCATGACTGCAGCCCAGCACTGATACAGTGTTCAGTAAGGAGCTGGCCCTTCACAGGGGCTGGTCACACTGCATCTTCCTACCTCTGCTGTCTTCTGCACAGGCTACAAAATGCCACCAAATCAACTTTCTTCTGATGTTGTGCTGACTTTGTTATTTTGTACTCATAAACCTCTGGATAAATTCCAGATCTATTCCCCAGCCTTTCAAGGTCCTATCCCATCTTCCACCTTTCTAATCACAGTCAGTTTTAACTCCCTGGACCTTGGGAAGACTGTATGAATTCCTGCTCTCTGCTTTATCTCCAGATACCTTACTAAGAATGCCAATTCTCTTCCCCACCCAAATTCATCTATCTTTATCACTTGCAGAAAAATTAATCCATTTTTGCAAAGGATAACACAGTACCTATCATCCTACAGCTATCCAGAACATAAAACTACTTTTCATGTATATTTTGTGAAATTGAGCTAACTCACTTTTCCCCACTCTTCATAAGTCTTAAACAATAACTATGACTTTCTTCATAAAACAGGTTCAAAATAATTTTAAGAAAAAAATCTTCTTTAAGACCAAACTGGCATTCTGTCACAGAAGCTCAAGGAGCTGTGTCAGGTCAATTTCTGCTCTCTTGCAAGCAGCAGTCTTTTGTGCAGCCCTACACCTCTGTCCAGGGACAACAGTTATGTGTCATCAGCAACCCAGAAGTCTCCATTCATAACACAAAGCCATTGTGGTCACTGGTCCCGCAGCACATGGGCTCAGGTGGACAAAGCCTTGTTGTCTTGATTTAAGATGAGCAACGAGCCCAAATCTAGCTCAGCTGATTAATTCTAACAAGGGTCATCCCCTATGGATCTCTGGCCTATCTCTCCCTTTAAACTTCAGATTCTTCCAACCCATCTGTTAATTCTGTGGACCCAGGGAGATGCCTCCTTTTGAAAGAACATGCAGGCTCTGTCTTCTGCATTGTGATTGGAGGGGCTGGGAAAGTGATTGTTAATGTGGTTAAACTACTCTCAGGAAGCCTCTTCCTGAGAAGGGCAATAAGGCTAAAGTCAGCTCAGGAAGCCATGGGAATGGGTCATGGAACACTATCCTAAGATAAGGATTGATGTTATTTCCAGTGATAGCAATATCTTTCAGAGGTAGGTATGATGTAGCCAGCTTTTTGCAATCTTCAAAATTTATCTGACAAGGATAAAATGCTGGCTTTCAGCATTACCTCTAGACAAAGATTCAAAACTAACAGTGAATTGCTTTTCTCATACTCCCCCAAGCAGCACAGTTCTGAAAACATGAGTTATTCACTGTAGCTTATTACTTCCAAGATCTTAAAACCAGACAGGGCAAGAACTCTCACTGAAATAGCTAACTGAAATAGCCAACTGAAATTCATAGGTGCCTTTCTCCTCTGCACTTCTTCACAACTTTCTACCTGCTTTACAGCACTTATTTTGCTTTTCCCTGAGTAGAACTTTAGTTCTACTCTGGTCTCCTTACATCCATACTAGGCTGAACTCATCAGGGTAAGGACTCTAATTCATATTTGTGCCTTATATTATGTCCAGAGAATGGTGAGTTGTTTTATTTCTTCCTAGGCGCTAACTATTGCTTGTTAAGTGGTGTGTCTCTGTACTCTTAAAATCAGTGCTTTGACTAATTGTGGGCCTCTATTAAGATGTTGGGTAGGATTTTTGTAAGCCAGATTCTGGGTTATCTCAGAAAGGCAGGTAATGGGCACCTAGTTTCCAAGGCCTCAGTTTTCTCTTGAAAAATTCCCCATCTATAAGATGAGGACAATGAGATAGCACCCACATCACAGGGTAGTTCTAAAAAAGGAATGGAATAATTACACACAGTGCGAAGTAAATTCGGCCATTGTTATTTTACATAAATAGACCTGGACCTCTGGGGTTACTACTCTCAGCATAATAAAACGTTTATTTTTATTAGTCCACAAAATTTTTTTGTGATCTTTCTTATATAGTCTGTTACTAACTCTACTTATAAAATAGCCTTAATATTTTTTATAGCATGTTATCAGTTTTCCCTTTTAGAATTACAAAGAGGAATAATGCTTCATTTTACAATACTTGAAATTTTCACTGAATTAGCCGGTGATGGTATATTGGTGAGTTTTTGTATGTCTTATTCTCTCCTTTGTCTTGCTGGATCACTGTTCTTCTTAGAAGCAAGAGTATTCTTCCAACTCTGAATAGCTTCGATGTAGAAATTTTCAAACCAGGCAAGACTGTGAAATAACAACAGTGAGGATAATGTGCCCTGCCTACCCACCTCCTCTTTATACTCCTGTAACTGTTAAACTACTACTAAGTTCAGTGCAGGTGACTAAAGCCGCAATGTCACTATTATTATTTTTAGGCTAGAAATGGGTACAGATGCCCAGGATTTGCTAGCAGGCATGATTTTGATGTAACAAAGCCCATCTTAAGTCAGATCAAGTTTACAGAGGTGCAGCTGATTATTTTGAATAATTAAATGGTGTCAAAACCAGCTGTGATGAATAGCACGGGGGTCTCAAATCATACATAATTGAGAAAGTGGAGTTGCATCTAATCATCCTGATCAAATTCTGCTCTCTGGAGGATAAATGTTTGTCCTGAATCCCATCAACACTGTTAAATGCCTCAATATTCTTGCTCAGTCATCCAGTCAACAGTCAATTGAACTAAATCACTTGAACACCACACACATTTGCCGTCCTCATGAATACAAAATGTTTGACTTAAACCATGTTCTTTGTAGTTGAATAAGCACCTTTTTTTGGGTCAGCATCTAACAGCAGCATTAAATACTTGACATGTTTTTGTTTGTTCCATAAAGCATATGATAGAATAAATCAGAGTGTCCTTTCTACCACTTCTGCTTTTGTCTGGCTAAAAACACATACAATACAAAAACTAACAATAACAACCAACAAAAAAAGAAAAAACAAGAACAAAGACAAAAAACTATGAGGAAAACGTCATTTAAAATGAGTAGTCAATATAATTGCCTTTCTGATAGCCTTTGGGGATTCCAAATTTGCATAGAGACAGGGGATTTTGGTCTAATTTTTATTTCTCATTGTTTATGCAAGATAATTGTGCCTCCCAGCTGTATGGCTCCTCAGTGTGTGTTTCCCATTACTTCCTTTGAGCCCCATAACCAATGGTGTAAGAAGTGGGCAGACTAGCCTCTTCATCCTCATTTCCATTCCATTTTAATGTAGAAATGAGAAAGAGAAAGGAACTGACTTACCCACAAAGCTAGAAGACAGCTGAGCTGCCATGAAAACTTGGCCTCCTCGGCAGGACTCTTGCTGCCAGAGATGTGCCTTAGTTAAGCGCCTCAGTGAAGAAAAGGGCAGTCTGTTTAATAGCTCCTCATTGACACCCTGTCACTGCTGAACTGGCACAGAACCCAGAGCTGGCAGGGTGGTGCATGCCACTCTCTACCTTGTTTCCTATACACCACTTCTTAAAATCAGAGGCTGTGTTAACCCATGTCTTCTCTCCAAGCATTAATAATCATGAAAACAACAACAATCCAGGCTTTGCTTGGTTCTTAATTATTAACCCAGCACTTGTAAGGATGTTTATCATTTATTTCTTTTTAACATCTTTAGGATCTTTAGGCGACATTAGCACCATTTTTAAAAATGAGGAAACTGGGGATCAGAGATGAAGTGATTGGCCCAAGGACTGCAAAGCACACTACTGGTGGAGCCAGCACCCAGCTCTTCAGATGCCAAACCTGCTGTCTCTACTACACCATGTGCACCCCAGAAGTGCCATGGAAGCAGGGAGCGCTGCATTGCGACTGTTGCTCCCAGTTACAACTAGGATGCAAAAAAACCAGAAAAACAGGCCCCACTAGTTGGCCTCTTCTCTACCACTGAGTCTGGTCTTCTGAAAAGTGCACGTTCAGAACAGTTCCAAAGAACTCCCTTTCACTTCATTTTATTGGTGGAAAGAATGGTTGTCAAAGTCATCAAAGAAAAAAGAAAATCTCACATTTCCATAGTTATTGTTAACGTAACACAAAGCTTAGAGTGTATTCAGTTTACAAAAAAAACCAAAAAAACCCAAACAACAACAACAACAACAACAAAAAACCCCACACCCTGAAAAATAAGAGTTAGGTTTGTGGAAATTAACTTCCAATTTTGAAACATACCTCAAAATCCTCAGAGAACCCGTGCTGGTTATTAGAATAGAGCTCACCAATGTGTTTAACAAACTGTTTGACAGGAATGGCTTCCATGTCATCTGGGGGAAGAAAATGATATTCAAAGTCACACAGAATACTTCCATAAAACAAATGACACTGATAAAGCAGATCATACTTATTTTAAACAAATATTTGGTTTCTGTAAAGAATGGTATGATTGTGTCATCTGAAATAGATGTCCTGAAGAAAAGTCTCAGGATTTATTTTACATTAGGATCTCGTTGCCTATAAAGCCAAATTAAATGGAATATTTTTAAAAGGCACTCACAGACATCCCTTTACTTCTTATATTCAAAACAATTTGCATAGTTAAGTTACTACATCATAAATTAAGTGTGAATTTACCAACAGTACCTATTTGCCAAGAAATTTTACCACAACCTGTTTTGAGTGTGTGTGTTTTAAAAATTGCTATTCACGGGGATCCAGCTTGAACTTGGAGCAATTAAGTTCCATTTCCAATCTTTGAGGTCTACGCAATCTTTTGTACATAGATAGATGCCCTTGTACCAGCTGGCTCTGGCTACAATGCCATGTATCTTTAAGTCTCCAGAATTTTAGTTCAAGACAGCTGTGTCTCCATGATGCCAAATAATCAGTTTGACAGAATTAACTGGATTTTTTTTTTTTTTTTGCGTTGACAGACTAGGTACAGATTCAGGAAGACTCCCCACTTCCCAATTTATGGTAGCGTTGTCACTTCCAAAGGACATTTTCAGTTTGTAAATCCAAAGTGTACGTTAGGCTTATTTACAGAGACCCTATCCTGTACTTGATCACTACTGTTAAATGCCACACCCACCGCACTGGAGTTCCTCGACCTCCTCCCCCCGACCCTCCCCCACAAATATTTCCTTTTAAAAATACTCCGCTGAATTTGAGATAAACAACAGACATGACATTTACTTTATTCAGAGTGAAAGATCTTTGGCAAACGCACAAACATCTAAACTGCCACAGATGCTTTTCTTAGCAAAGGGTATGAAGATCTGTATGTGTAAATGAGGTCCTACTTTGGCAAGAATTTTATAGATCCAGGCCTGACAATCTGATTTCTCTTCATCTGGTGACAGTTAACATTGACTATGTCATTCCTTCTCGACTTTCTTTCGAGAGAGCAAAGCTCTAGGGTGGCTTTTTGCATCTATTGACATTTTCAAACTTGAATCATTCTTAGGCGGAAAATAGAATCTCTTCTACTTTGTTTAAGAAAGGTGACTTACAGATCCAGAATCTAAGTTGCTGGGCAGAGAAATGTTACTTGTCAAATAGGTGGTCTCAGTAAGCATGAATACTATCTGTGTGAACAATTAAAGTCCTTATCATTTTAATAGGCAACCTTATGAAAAAAATTGCCAAGTTATTTACAAATATTTCAGGATTGAAGATATTCATGAATATGCAAATCATTTTGTATGCCCAAGAAATCTATAACTCTAGTGATGTAACCAGCATTAACAAACTAAGCAGAGCCAACACGTTTCCACAGAAGATTTAGCAGAATGCACAGTTCAAGAACAATTTCCAAAATTATCTGATCACTTCACTTCAAATGCTGAGAAGTAAGCGAATCCTACAATAATGATTGGTGGCATGGAAAAGATTTCAAGCTAAAGAAAGCCAAAGAAAGAGTTAATGTACAAAGCTAGATTAGCCTAAGAATAAGCCCATCTTCGCACGTGAGGCAAAATGAGTGAGACCGGACACAACCCAACCCCACAGACACCCTGGCTTACAGACCATAGCAATTCTTTCCTATTTATTTAGAAATGAAGGCATGGCACTTTCCAAGAGCAGAGTAACCTAGTTAACAGTGTAATAAGGAGAAGGAACCACGTACTAAAGGATCATAGTTCAGAATTTTCCAATTCCCAGTACACAGACAGTGCCATGATGAAGGCTGTAGACTGTAGTTCAAAATAAGAAAAGCCATGTCAACTTCAGATACGCCCTGTAACATAAAAGATTTTCAAAACTGCAAGATTCTAAGGTAAAAAACCATGGTATTTTGAAGGTCATAGTCAATCTCAAATTATTGAAAGAAATTCTTTAAGTTTCAGTTGTTTTTTTCCTGCAAAGCACTCAACTGTAATATCCAAAGTAATGTCACACATGCCCAGAAATCAGTCTGCCTGCTACCCCGTGGCTAGATACAGCAAAAATCCAGAAGAGCTCAGTGCGATAGTCAGGGAAATATGTGATCACTCATTTCTCCAATTTGCATCTTTACCCAAGAAAGTCTAGCCACACCCTCCAGCTTTTCAGGCACCACCAATAACGTCATAAAACTACCAGACAAGGAAATGCACATACAGATGCAGACTGTACTGACTGTCATCACCTCCCCGGGTGACACAGAATGGTCTTTCACTCAAGAAAATAGTTGTGTGGACATAAATCTTTTTTTCTGTATCTTAAGATGAATACAAGGCTATTTTCCTCTCTCCACTAAGTCATCTTAACACAAGCCAAATGATTATAAAATTAATATAACTAGCAGAAGACCAAGTAATTTAGAGTAGCATCATAGACCTGATCTGCTCAGTTTGTATCTAGAAAGGTCCTACGTGTTAGAAGAAGATATCCATTTAGAAGATCTTATTTCCCGCTCAATGTCTGTGTTAAACTAAAGTTTACAGAGAATATCATCAGTACTAATTAGTGCCCAGGTGCTTTGACTACATTTTACATGTATCATTAACCTGTTCTTGCAGAGATACATTATGATTTTCATATCCATCTTAAAGCTGGGAAAACAAGTTCTGAAAGATTAACTGGAGGCAGAGGAAAGTGGCTGCAGACTCAGGGTAGAGTGTGCTGACTCAGGGAATGGCTATGGTATAGAAGAAGGATTGGCAACCACTGGGTCCAGCATTACTGAACATCTAGGATGCAGTCACATATTAGGAAAATGGTTTCTGCTCAAGAGCAACATTTGGGACAGCAATTAACATAACAAAGTGTAGAATCATATGAACACTACAAATGCCATATAAGGGATGGCTATGATGACTTAGGTGAGAATCCTTGTCACTGATGTGGTAGTTGCAGTAGGAGAAACATGAAGAATAAAGATGGGTTGGAATCTAAGTGAATACGTTTTCATGAACTTACTTGTTTGATGGGAAATTACTACGGTGTAAAGACAGAGTTGGTAGATGAGAAGAAAGTCACCATTTATTAAGCCCTAGCTGGTTGCCAAAGACTGTGGTAATTTTTTTTTTTTTTGGCAGTACTGTGGTTTGAACTCAGGGCCTCATGCTTGCTAGGCAGGTGTCCTACCAGAGCCATTCTGTCAGCCCTGTTTTGTGTCAGGTACTTTCAAGATAGGGTGCACGAACTATTGTAATCCTCCTGATCTCCACCTCCTGAGTAGCTAGGATTACAGGTGGGAGCCACTGGTGCCCAGCTGGTAATGTTTTTCATACATTTTTCTTTCCAAGAACCAGATGAAAGGAACAGAGTTACCTTTACAATGCACATAAGGAAGCTTGAGGCAACTCGATGCTATAGCTGAGATCTCAAGGCCAGGATGAACTCAAAGCCTGTGCTCTATGCACAGTGATATACTCTGAATGCACCAGCTTCAGGAAGAACAAGACATTGAACAGAGTACTGGTTAATCTGATAAAATATTACTTGCAGAATTGTGTGATACCAAAGATTTAGCTCAGGCAAAAATGGGACCACCCCTTATTAGTAGATCACCCATTAAAAAATGTTTGATATAATTAAAAGGGAATTGGTATCAGAAGAGAGGCTTATTGTTACCAAATACTGTTATTTCTGCTTAGTTCCAAGAGATTGGTTCTTGGTGGTTAGACTTAAACTATGAAAATACAAGGTCTTTTCACTTGGTCAGTCTATAATGAAAGCAGAACATTAGAGAGTGAACTAAAGCAACTTCTGCTCAAGTGATTCAGCTCTTCAAAGCTGAGGAAATGTGGACCTCACATGTGACACTGCTGGGAAAAAAGAACAAAACATATGTAAAGGAAAGTTATTTGGGCCAGGTAGGATGGCTCACTCTTGTTATACCAGCTACTCAGGAGGCAGAGCCTGGGAGGTTTGTAGTTTGACACCAGCCTGGGCAAAAAGTTAGTGAGACCAGTGCCGGAGCTGGGGCTCAAGTGGTAGAGTACCCGCCTAGCAAGCACAACACCATGAGTACGAAGCCCAGTACTGCCTGCCCCGCCCTGCCCAAAATCAGAGATGCCATCTCAACAAACAAGCAGGGCATGGTGTTGTGTACCTGTCATCCCGGCTGTGCAGGAGGTATAGGTAGGAGGACCTGAGTAAGAGGCTGGCTCCAGGTAAAAATGCAAGATCCAATACAAAAAATAAAGCAAAAAAGGGCTGGGGGTATGACTCAAGTGGTAGAGTACCTGTCTAGCAATGTGAGACCCTGAGTTCAAACTCCAGTACTGCCCCTCCCTCCCCCTCAAAAAGCTGCTTCCAAAATCTATGGTTAGGTCACTTTTGTACTTCCTTCTGTGGAACTGTTAAGAAACGGGTCACCAATACTTTTAGACTTCTCTACCCTACTGATACATGCTAAATTTGCTTTCTATTAATCTTAAAGGAAGTCAGATAAATAAAGAGAAAAAGTTAACTTTCTTATTGTCACTTTGGTTTGCTACTAGAAAGGAAAAATCAGCAGGCGAAGCTGTCCCTGGGCGTACCTCACAGGGAGGAGCTGCACCGCCAGTCCAGCTCTAGCCTGCACTCCGTAGCACTGTGGCTGTTACTCTACTCAGCCCCCACCGATGGGCCATCTGTGGCTCATGCATCCAGAGGGAATGGTGACAGCAGAAAAGCCAGGGCCAGCCTGCCTTGTGCTGTGACTCTGCCTCCCTGAGATTCCCTTCCCTCACCTGTGAAATGGGACCAGCAGCAATACCCGATTCACAGTGTCACGAAAAGGAAGAAGGGTGCGAGCGAGAGCATTATGACCTAATGAGCGCATCATGACAATAACTGATTGTTAGGTGCTGCTTGCTTTCCATGCATATCCCTAGGGGCTGAGATCCTGCCCACT